AAAAAGTGGCGGCCAAGTGTTTTATTGGTATCGATTTACTTAGATAGGCTTCTAAACAGAAGTTTTGAGGCGAACATGAGCATTAGAAATAAACATTTTGCTAAAAATTATCTGTTTTTTATAATTTTGAAAAGTGCTAAACACTTTCTGCAGATTTTTTTTATTTGTGCAGTCAAACCAAAGAGTCCGCTTTGTAAAGCTTTCTATAAATTTGATATGGGCGCACACAGAGTAAAAGCAAGGAAAGTAAAAAGTAAGGAGATCAATACTTGCGAAACTCTACATTTATATATAAACACATATGTATGCATATAGACTTCTAAGCACAATCACAAATGCCTCTCCAACTAACCAAAACTTCCGCTAAATTTCCTTTTGTGAAATTGTTTTCCCATTCAATTCTATCATATCCATTGCGACTTTTGCACTTCTAAAAAAGTGATGTCCTGCTGCGCTGTATCATAATTACAAACATATACACACACATGTACTCACAAACAAGCCTGTTATATCACACTCCAACGACTATCGCCTACACCACACCCCTCAACTTTGACACTTCATTTAGCATAGCCGGCAGGAATTTATCCGCTTGTGGCGGCCCGCGGACATACTCATACTCGTATCACTCTGCGTCGGCCGACGTTCGCCACCCGTGTCACCCACCTATGATCAGGACGTGTGTCGCTGTCAAACGGTCAGTCAAAGTTACGAATGCTACCTACAAAGCGAAATGCCATTGAGCTCGCTCTGAATTCTTTTATTATTTTTTGTTTTGTTTTGTTTTTTCGGTGGCATATAATAGTCGCGCGCCAATTGTTCCAATTATAGTTTAATGAAAACAACAACCACTTCCGATTGTTATTTGAAGCAAAACAAAATAATATTTAATGATGGTTAGCGAACAAATAAAGAGGCACACAGTTTCTTTGTGCGAATTTAATTGAGGGTTCAAAACAGATTGTGCAAATTAAAGGTATGTATGTATAAAATCGCAGTGACCTTGTATAAAAGATTTTAAGCAGGCCTTTTATAGAACCACCTTATCTCTACAATTCCAGAGTAAATCATTGTGGACGGCTTAGAACTTGTTAGTTAGCTAATAAAATTCTAAAAACCTTATTTTCAAAACATCATTCATAGACTTTTAGTTTAAGTTCATGCAATTATCTGCAGACGTCCGCCATAGCCTTTTGATTAGTGGTATTACCTTTAGGCCCAGAGTTGAGCCCCGGTCTGAGCAACATCTACTACACACAATATGTATGTTTAGCCACAATTGGCCGATTTTAAAAACGCATGCACAATGCTTGTTGGTCCCAGAGCGTTATATGTAATTATTGAAAACTAAGCTACCATAAAATCGATTTGAGGCGCTTACCCAGATCGAGGCATACTTACAGGGCACTTCTGGCTAAGATAGTAAAAAGGTATTTCGACAAACAGATATTTCGAAGGACTTTTATTATTTTAGCACAAATTTCTTAGAAAAACACTCGGCTGAGAAGCTATTTTGAGAGAAAGTGCTTGTACATATACAGTTGTCCACAAAATAATAGGAGTGCGATATTTTGACCAGTTTTGGCTATTTGTCTTTTGTTTATTTAATGTTTATTATTTTTTTATAAAAGCCTAGCTGGCTATACAACAAACACCATATAAATTCAGATTTTAAACTTTGTATAAAAATTATAAAAATTTTGCAATTTATCAAAAATCTTTAAAAAATTCCGTTGATTTTTGAGAATTTTTTTGGTTAAAGGTGTTTCACGTTTTTTCCATACAAAGTATGTCGACAATTTTCTTTTATATGGAGGACACTGCCAGCAAAAAAATTGCCAAAAATCAACGGAATTTTTTAGCCGCTTGAAACTTGCACTTCTTTAGACTAGAATTGAATGTGCTACAAAACTGCATACCAGAATTTTTTCTAAAGATTCTGATTAAAAAGTTTGAAATTTGGGTGAAAAATTGCAAAATTTTTATAATTTTTATACAAAGTTTAAAATCTGAATTTATATGGTGTTTGTTGTATAGCCAGCTAGGCTTTTATAAAAAAATAATAAACATTAAATAAACAAAAGACAAATAGCCAAAACTGGTCAAAATATCGCACTCCTATTATTTTGTGGACAACTGTATGTATCATTTAGTTCACGTTGCTTCAACAGTCGCAATGGCACAGGGAGCAAAGCGCAGGCGAATTCTCGAGTGGCGGAATTGATTGTTGTTTTAATTTCCATTTTTTACTTTTTAAATTAACCTTTAGATTTTATTGTTTTAAAAAGAAAAAATATATATTTTTTAATTTCATTTCATTTTGTAAAACTTTTTTGTTTTTTTTATTTTCATGTAATTTTTTATTGCTTAGTTAAATTTTCTGTTAATGTTTAGATGTAATTGTTTGAAAAGGAAAATATTTTTTAAGTTCTTTTAATTTTTAGCAACTTATTTAATTGTTTCTTTTTTAAATTAATTTTTTCTCTTAAACTTCATTCTAAGATTTTATTGTTTAAAAAAGAAAAATATTATTTTTTTATATCATTTAATTTTTAGAACATTTTATTTAATTTTTCCAGTTTTTAATTTAATTAGTTCGTCTTTTCTTAATTTCATTATCCTTTTTCGGAGTATTTTATTTTATTTTTTAACTTTTGTTTTAATTTTATGTTCATTAAATAGTTAGATTTTTTTCTGTTTTTTTATTTATTTCTTTTTTTTATTTCTCTCCTTTTTCCGATTTAATTTTTATAATATGTATTACAATTATAATAAATAAAATTATATAATTTTAAGATTTTTTAAATTCCATTTAAATTTTATAAATATGTTCACTTACTTCATTTTCATTTTATTCTTTTAATTTAATTTTCTTTTCTTTATTAGTTTTTATTGCTTTAAAAAGAAAAAGTTTTATATATACTTTATTTAATTTAATTTTTCAAAAAATTATTACTAAAATTCGAACAGAGTAACGCTAAACCTTCCTCGTTAGCAGATGTTTTAATTAGTCTACCGAAAGGCAGAAAGGAGCTCGTCTTACGATAGGGTTTTGCCTTCCGAAAGACTGTGGGGAGTTGAAAGACAGTTGCCAAAGTTTCCCTATTAAACCTTGGTTTTCTGTCTACGAACTGTCTATTAAATTCAGTAAGATGAAACTTATCCTATTTTCAAGGAAGCATGTATTACGTCCATTGTGTTTAGCAATTTAAATTAATTTTAAATAGAAAGCTTTCACCAAACCCCTCATTGGAACTGGCGATTTCTTCTTTACTAAGATCCCATCAAGAGATAATCTGTAGGACTCAGTGTTGCCGTTGAGAATTTTTATCGCAAGTCGCAGAAAAGGGGTCATTGACGAAAAAAAGGGTCACCATATCGAGACCTAACCGCCAAAAAAAACCTAAGCGATTTTTTTTAAATTTTCTTTTTGAAGCAGAAATATTCCTAGAGCATCTAGAGGTAATTATGCTTAAAAAAAATTTCGAACAAATGGCGTTTAAGTTATTTTGGCGGTTAGGGCTCGATATTATTTCTAACCAACTTCAAAAAAGGAGGTGGTTATCAATTCGTCGGAATATATATATATTTTTTATGTATGTTACCGCAAGTATGTCCATTTCTATAATTCTATAATTTTTTAAAGGAAAGGTAATACCTCAGAGGTGGTCCCATACTATTTTGTTTTAGTTCCGATAATTGAATCATGAAGAAATTTACGGTACTCTTAAATTTTTTTTATGAGAACTGAAGTGGGTTTTGTTTTTTGCATACAAAAATCGAGTTGCTTCAAGGAGAAGAGTTGCATTTCCTTTAAAAGGTTCAAGTGATGCTTTTTTTCGTACTTGCAGGAGGAAATGTTTTTTAATAGCATGGTTCTCTTAACATTTCCTAAAAAAATTCTCCGAAAAGGGGGCAAAATATCTAATTTTTCAATAAAACGGATCAAAGGGTATTGGCGCTTAAAAAAGGTCAAATTTCCCCTTCAGTCGCACAAAGGCAACACTGCCTAGACTCGATCAAAATGACATCAAGGCTTATAGACAACTACAAAACTATATTGAACCATTTAGGTATCCAAATCAATGCCAGCCTGCGGATGATGCCAGGCAATGAGCGGTGAATGGCAAAAAAAAGGGGCGATGCGCTTTCAGGGACTAACGCAGCCTAAGCTTTTCTGTGGTCCATAAAAACAGTATATAATAGAACTGGTAAATAGGTGGCATGATTTTCCAATTGTCGCCGAGTGAATGACAAATGAGAAAACGCATTCTAAGAGATTCATAACTCGCTTTAGAAGAAACTATGAAGGACTTCTGAATTTTAGGTACCATATTGCAGAGACGAATTTTAGGTTTTATGGATTGGCGAAAGAAAGCCCATAGCTTATACACTCCGCGTGATAATTATAAGCGACCACACATTGACAAAATAAAACCTCACGGCAAATCTGAAGGCCAAACCTTTTCATTTGACACCTCATTTTAATTTTAATTGAATGAACGGTGCAAACCTAATGTCAAAAACAAAAGATGCCCTCGCGTATTATACATACATAATTTTTAAATACGAACAGTGCGGATCCTACAACTTTGTAGACAGGTGGCAAATTTAAAGTACTAAAGAATATTATCTCCCTATCCTTCCTTCCTATCCTATCGATACAGATTATACTAAAAAAATCTCGTCTAAATCAGTTCAGTATGTTTTGAGATTAGCGTGGTCGAAATATCTCGTCTTTCCTTTATACTATGTATAGAAGATAGTGATTTTTAAATAGGTGGCAACCCTATTCAAAAAATTAAAGCTTTTGTACATACTAAGGCAATGCCTTTCATTTGGTATCGCATTTTGTAGTCCAAATAACGGCAAAAATATTTAACTTTTTAATAGGTGGCAACCCTACTCTGAAAATAATACATTATCGCACATGTAAAGGCTAGGTCTTTTCGTTTGACAGTGACAGTGCAGAACTGATGCCTACGCTTATTATGATTGCATAAAGTAATTTTATAAACAGGTGGCAACCCTATTCAAGAAAAATAAAACATTGATGCTTTTCTAGAGATCAATCCCTTTCATTTGACACCACATCTTTTGTAATCCAACGAACGGTGCGGATCTTATAGTTTTTTAAATATTATTAAAATTCAGCAGTTTTCGAGATTAGCGCATAGAAAGAATCTCGACTTTTCTTTATACTATGTATAGATAGATATTCTATTCTTTAACAGCGTTATTGCTTATTCTTGAACAAGCACTGTATAAATGGCAATTATTTGTTGGTTAAGGTGTTGCTCCTTTTCTCCCATATTAATGATCGTGTCAATATGCGGTGCGCTTATAATTTTGACACAGAGTGTATTATGAAATTCCCCGCGTATTATAGCTCATAGACTCAAATACTTTGCGGAGGAGTATTTGGGACACGACACCCTGTTCGCAAACAAATTTGCTATTTGAAATAAAATAAAATCTACATATGTAACCCACATATTTATTTCGTACAGCCACTCACCATCGGGAAAGACTTGACGCATTTTCAGATACGATGTTGTTAATCTTATGATGGATGCTTTGTCCAACTGTGATGTAATTGCACTTGGTAGTGGTAATAATTTGGCCAATTCGAAGAATTCTGCATTTTCCTTTTCACGTCTAGTGCGAGCGGCATTTTTACTCTTCTCCTTCATGGCACAAGATTTAGTTAAGCCTACAAAGAAAGAAATTAAAACAAATAAATTTTTTGTGCAATTTTTTAACTGTACATATACATATATGTATTTAAAAATATTCGCCTCAACTAAATACTTTTCTTTTTTTTTTAATAAATAACTGCACGCACTTAATAAACTATGCCGATTTCGCTCCGCCAACACCTTTCTTTGGAATATCATCTTTGCATAAACACTTTAACTACACCACACTCTCTTTTCCAATTGGCGGAGGTCGTTGCTTGCTCTAATACTTTTTCAACTATTTATTTATTTCCTCATGAAAAACGTTCTTGACTGTTTAGAAACTATTTTGTAACTGTTTCGGATTAAGAAATGTGCAACATTTTTAAGAAATCTTCGCACACTTGCACTTCCATGAGCGGAAAGGCCCAAACAAGTGCAGTTACCTGATAGCCACTACGTCTACGATTGGCCACAAGCCAGCCAGCCGGGTGGGTACCTGTAAGGATTTTCCGCATACAAGCATTGCATTGCATTGTTTTTGGCAGCCAAATAAGTATTTGTACTTCTAATTCTTTTGCTAGTAAAGTCAAGCCAATTGACTTCTGTGCAACATAATGGTGCACATTATGTACATGCCTACATACATATATCCAATCCCAAGACAATCCAATTCAATTGCATTGACGACCCCTTACTCGATTCTTCTGCACACAACACACCTTCTTTACCTGCCAATGGCCAATGTGGTATTGATTGGCATCGGCAGAATTGCAAGTCAAACGTAAAATTTTATGAATGAAATCTGCACACAATAACAAATGCATTTACAGCATACATAACTATGTATGTACATACATATGTATGTGCGAATGAATTTATGAATGTTAGATTTTAGATACACAGATACAAAGATACCGTGTCTTGTGTGGCGTGAACGTTGCGCGTGTCTCAGTTGCGCTTACACGGCTTTTACTACTTTGTGGGCGTCTTGTTGTCTGCAAAATTTTTCTACCTCAAGGAAATTATTTGCGGACAACAGGTTGCATTTGCATTTGCATTTGTGTGTATGTATGTCCAGCCAATAAATACTATATGTACCTATTGTAGCTCTGATGTGTCCGACCTGAATGTACATATGTATATACATACATTAGAGTGCATCACCAAGAAAAATTGTGGTTTTTACGCCGGGATTACAAAACTTATTATATTTGAAGACGGTCACCAAAATATTTCGGAAAAATATTAAGATTTACGTCAGCTGGACCGATTTGAAAATACCTCCAAAAATGAAGTTTTTTATGAATAAAAATAGTTTCTTTAAGAATTTTTTGTAAAAAAAAAATCGTTTCAGATGACAAAACAGTTTAAGCTTACAAAATCTGCAAAAAAACTTAAAAATCTTTTCAACGGAATCGTACTAATAATATATTTGATGCTGTTTTTAACTTTTTTCAAAGGTTGGTTTAAGAAAACTTTAATAACTGAGCCAAAACTATTCCGATTTAGACCCATGAGGTATCAGTGGTAAGGTATTTTCCCACTCTTTGTATTTCTGTGCAAAGCTCATTCACGTCACAGCATTTTTTTTTGTCAAATACCAACACATCTTAATTCAACTTGGAATGACGCTTGTTCACCCTACCTTTCCCTTTCGTACTTTGAATGAAGCTATTTTCAAATAAATAAAAAGGCTGAGAAAATAAATTTTCAATGATACTTCACAAGTCTAAATAAGAATAGGTTTGGTCCAGCTATTCAAGTTTTTTTTTTTGTACCAACCTTTGAAAAAAGTTAAAGCATAAAAAAACTCGTAATTAAGATTCCGTTTAAAACTTTTTCTAATATTTTTATGCAGACTTCTCAAGCATAAACTGTTTTGTCATCTGAGGGGATTTTTTTTCAAAAAAATTCTTAAAGAAACTATTTTTATTCATAAAAAAAATCCATTTTAGAGGTATTTTCAACTAGGTCCAGCTTACGTAAATCTTAATGTTTTTCCAAAATATTTTGGCGCAATTCTTAAAATATAATAGATTTTATAATTGCAATGAAAACACAGTACCGATTTTCATTTTTTGTATGAAGAGTGATGCAGCCTAATGTACATAAAAAACGAAGTTTGCCGTACACCCCTGAGTCTTAAGTGATTTTGCAAGGCAATTTAGAAAAAAAAATTTTGCCAACGCAGAGGTGTCTTTTTACAATTTTCGTCATATCTTTGGCATTTACAATCGGATCTTTAAGTATTATATGCCAATGTTCTTGTCTCGAGGAGGAATTTTTTTTTTTGTTTCAAAGCTTATTAACCTCAACTACATCGTTCAAGTACTTACCCACCAGAACTCAGTTTCTTCCACCCTTACACACCACTCTAATATCAGTAAATTAAGGCTCACCAATAACCATTAAACTTTCGCAAAATCAAAATACTTAGATTTTGTTAGTAGAACTATTTAAAAAGGAATTGTATTTCCGAATGTACATAGGTGTCGTCGAATTTGTTTCGAAAATTTGCAAGTGTTCTGCGAAGGTTTTGCATTTTGCTTGTAGGGTGGTTCGGTATTATGTACATATAAACATAGTATACATAGTGTACATATACAAAAAAAAAACCAAAAGGTTCCGGATCTCCGATAAGTCGTGAGAATTTCGTTTATTTCATCAAAAAGAAAGCGCTTGCATAGGCGTGAAAAAATCGCTTAGGATTGTTCTATACAGAAAAAAATATCAATTTTTTTTTTTTTTTTTTGAAATCAAAAAATATTTAGAGGTCGCTTAAAGCGCTCTGCTTCTATGCAGGAGATTTCCTATGACAATACAAAATTGCTAGGGGCACCAATAAAAAATCGAAAAGTTTTTTTTTTTTCATATAAAATACATGGAAAACTAGGAGCGCTTTGAGCGACCTCTAAATATTTTTTTATTTCAAAATAAAAAATAGGGGTATACTTTTTTCGCCATAGAAATTCTGACTTTGCTCTTTTTGGACCACCCTAATATATTTACATGTATATGTATGGATTTTATAGACCACCAATATGCATTGATGGCTAACATTTAGCCATTTTTCCTGAAATAATTTTTGGTATACATGTATGTATGGATGTACATATGTATATTTCCATTGTTGTTGGGTAGATAGTTTATTGTATGAATATAGGTATTTTTGTTCATTGATTGACTCACTTACCGTACGTGATTTTAGTGAAATTTGCAAAATTCTCCACATGCCTCTGATTTCGATAGTTTTCTTAAGCGAGCAGATGTTCGGAATACTTGTGCATACACATA